CTCTAAAGACACATACCATGAAACTGCTTAGTTGACGAAAAGTGATAACTTGGCAAGAGAGAAGGGGCTTGCTGTGAATTGGAAGAGGATACCAGGAAATCTGAGGAGGGCTGACTCAGAAGGTCTGGGGAGGAATCTAGATCTTCTCTTTCTGTTGTTTTTTTGTTTTTGTGGCGATCCTGATGTATAGTGAGGTTCAGCCCCCACACAAGTTTAGTCTGAGTAAACTGGCGGGGGGTGGGGGGGCTGCTTTACTTCATGTGCAAAGCAAGTGCAAAAAGCAATAAAAATGAAGCAACATGAAAAATGTGCTCCAAATATAAGAACAAGAGCTTCAGGATCCCAGAATGAGGGACCCACGTTGGGCATGGAGCTGCAACCACTGGAAATCTTGAAGGTGGAAGCAGAGACATATATGTACTGGCAAAAAAAGGAGAAGGTTACTCTGGGTGTGGATGGGGCAGGGATTTAGTAAGGTCTTGGGGAGCTAGCATGCGTATGTGGGCATTTCCCCAGACCTCCCTTCCCAGCTCACTCCAGCTATAAAACCAAGTCTCCAACCTCTGCCCAGAAGTTGGGCCACATTTTAAGCTTCCCAACTCTTTCAGCCTCCACCAGAAGGATTGTCTTCTAAATCACCTAGCTCTGGGAATGGCTGGGACTCTGTATTTACCAGTCCTCTGGGACAAAGAAGTGGCTTTAAACAAACAGGTGAGCCCTCACCAACCCCCGTCCCCACCCCATCCTAACTCCAGACAAGCAGGCAATAACAGTTTCTCCCCCTGGGGGATGTGGGGTGGAGTGGGGGCATTGACAACAAACACACTTTCCCAGCTGCTTTACCAGGATCAGGCCTCTTAATTAGCCTGCATCTTGGAACTGGCAGGGAAGGCAGTCAGGGCAGTTCATTAATAAAACTTCCTGCCAAATCCCCAAGACTCAATTCTCTCTCTGAGAGCAGTTTGTCTACACATCAAGCACTTCAACTTTTATAGCTCCCATCCAACGGACTGACTCTTAAATTAACTCAGCTTTGGGAGCTGATGGGGCTCTCCATTTGCCATTCCAGAGTTCCAGGGACCACAGAGATCAAAAAGGTGATTTTAAACAGGAGTACTACCAGTGGCTATTTCCTCTAGCTCAAAGCAGAGCTAGCAGACAGCAATACCCAGCTCCCAGTTTTGCACTGGAAAGGGATTGACTGCATATCTTCTTGACTTCTCCAGTTGCTGCCCATGTCATCAGGCTTTTAATTAGCCTTCACCTTGGAACTGATGTGACAGTCATTAGTTAGTACTGTGAGAGCTTAATTAACAATAGTGGGTGAGTGGGCACTTCTACAGCTCCTCCCCTTAGGCTCTATGGGGATAGATCCAAACCTTAACCTGCCTGTCCCTGAGGGCTGATAGCTTGCGTTTGGCATGGAATTTGGTAGTTCCCTGGCAGTTACCAAGAGCAAAGTTCTAAGAGTGTGCAGTCTGAGTGCAGGAATTTGCCACAAATCCTCTACACCGCTAGCACAAAGCAAGAGGGAGATAAAACCAGTTCCAAGTTTGTCCCTGAAGAAAGAAGAAAGTGACCACACTTCCAGTACACCAGCTCTCCAGCTGCTTCTGGAGGGACTGATTTTATCTCCTGTTTTGGGACGCTGACCAGCCTAACACAGTCAAATCTCCTCGGACCCCTAAGAACCATCCTACTGAGCTTGCTTTGACTGATTTCTCAAACCTCGTCTCTTAAACAGACAGCATGTGCATTTATTTGCATGAGTACTGAGAGAAATGTTGCAGTGAAATATTTTTTCAGAATCTGTCATACTATCACCTCCTGTTATTTACATGTTTAGTGATCTGATTTGATTTGATTTGATTTTTTATCTTAAAGGAGACGGAACTTGTTTTTTCATATATATCACTAATAATAAAATATCGAGACACTTATTTGAAGAAAATGTATAAGTGGCAAACATGCAAAGATGTTTCCTAAAAGATTAGGGAAATGCAAATTAAAACCATGATGACTTGTCTCTAAACACCTATGATAAAATGAAAAAAAGAAACTAAAAAGAAAAAACACCAAAGTCTGGCAAGGATGCAACAAAAATGCATTACTAAGATATTGCTGATGGGAATGAGAAATGGTACAGCCATGCTGGAAAACAGGCTGACAGGTTCTTTAAAATTGTACAACTAACATAAAACCTAATGGTTGCATTCCTTAATATTTATACCACTGAAGTGAAGACTTATGTTCAAACAATAACTTGTGCATGAATGTTTATAACAATTTTATTCATAATAGCCAAAGGATGGGAACAAAAGAGATGTCTTTCAATGGGTGAAGCAACTGGATTACATTCATACCATAGAATACCTTTGAGCAATAAAAGGACTACTGATGCACTCAACAGGCTGGATGAATCAACAGAGAATTACATTGGATAGAAAAAGACAACCCAAAAACCCTGAATACAGTATATCTCCATGTGTATGTATTTCTGGAAATGGCTTAAGTATAGAAATGACAAGGAGATCAGTGGTTAGTGGGAGTTAATGAGAAGGAAAAGTAGGAGGGAAGTGGTGTGGTTATAAAAGATAAACACAAGAGAATCTCAGGGTGATGGAAATGTTCTGTTTTGATGGATGCAATTGGCATAAGGAGCAATAGAACTAAAATAAAGATTAAACAAAATAATGGATTTTACAAAACTGTTAGCAATAAGGGGACAAATATCACAATCATACCGTTTACTTTGACAGATTCCTCAGACCTTGCCTCAGACAGCATGTGTATGTGCCTTTGGACTAGTGAGAGAAATGTATCTTGTTTCTTAATCTAAAATGACTGATAATAAAATATTGAGTTTAAAGGAGACATTTGATTTGCTTATCTGAATATGACCAAATTGGCCTGAGATGCAGCAGGTCTGCACGATGTAAGACTGTCCCAAGAGTGAGGCTTGGGCTACAGGTCTCAAGCCTAGTCCAAGTCCTCCCCACTTGCAACCTCATCTTTTCCTGCCATTCTCACCCTTCCTACTCCTCCAGGCTTTCCCCAAAGTGAGTGTTTACTTGTAACTCCACCTCTGACTAGGAGCTTCCTCATTTGCTTATGATATATATTTTTTAAGTGCAGTATTATTAATATGAAGGGAACTGGGGTGAGGCTAGCAGAGTTTAGTCCCTGCCATGTCTGGTCAACAGCAACTGATTTCACAGCCAATCTGCCTCTTGACATTATAAGAATGTGAACATTTCCCTGTCTCCTCCTCTGCCTTCTCTTTATCTCATGAATTTGTGATCTGCATATTTTCACTGAATTTACTGATTTTATGTGTGTGTGTGTGTGTGTGTGTGTGTGTGTGTGTGTGTACCTTCCACACCCACATTACTATTCTCCGAGACTGAAAGTTCCCCTTCTGATCAATACTACCCAAGATAGTAGTATTGGGCCTCCTTGGGTCCTTCCTCTTATTTCCAACTTTAGGTTGTGAGCTCTTTGTAGGAAGTGCCTGTGCCACACATATCTTGATATGATCCTCAGAGCCCAACAGTGGGGATCACTCATATCATTGTTATCAAATTGTTATCTTCTTGTAATTGAATTATTGTTGGTTAAATGAGGTAGATCATCTTATTTTGAAAAACTGGTAAAGTCCTTTCTATAAATATAGGCATTATATTTTATTTGCAAAATAAGCTCTCTTTTATTTTTGAATTGACATGTAAAAGTTGTATGTATTCATGGGGCATCATGTGACATTTCTTGATATTTGTGTCTATTTCTGTAATTGTAAAGGTAAAATTTCTAAGCTGATTCTAAGCTGCAAAAGCCTGAGTTAAAGTGTAAAAGACTGGGCATTGTAAAGTTTCTAAATTGAAAGGCTTGGGCTAAAAAATAATAGACCAGGTATTGTTAAAATTCCTCTGCTACCCCCGGAACCTGTAATCTCTGTAGCTGTTAGGACAATACCTGAACTGCCCAGTAAATATTTCTATTGATTCCCTGGTTGTTTATTAGCTAAGGGCTCCAAGTAGCTCGGCACATAAGCATCCAGGCCACAAAACCAATCAGTTTAAATGTATACCCCGCTTAGCAGTGACCAATCACCCCTGCCCAGACTGTTCCCGCCAATGAATGTACTAATCATGTCTCAGAATTGTTGTTCAATTTTCCCACGCCTCAAGATGATTTGTTCTGATGTATGCAAAGCCCCCCACCCTCTCCAAAAAGTGTACTTAAGCTCTGCTTGACCTCTGCTCTGGGCTCTGGGCTGCTCTCCTTTCTTGAGTGGGCACAGAGCCCCAGCATGCTGGCTCAATAAAATTTCCCCCTGCTTATTGCTTGAGGCTGGTCTCTTGTGGTCTCTTTCTCCGACGCTCCGCCGGACCCTTACATAATGTTCAAATCAGGGTGAGCATATCTATCTCCTCAAATATTTATCATTTCTTTTCAGTAAATACACTCAATATCCTTTCTTCTAGCTTTGTTATTTTAAATATACAGTACATTGTTGCTCCCTATACTGACCTTACGATGCAATTGAACATCAGCACATCTTTCTCTTATCTAACTAACCTTGGCACTTGATGACCAACCTTTTCCCTATTTCTCACCTCCTTGTTTTCTCCAGTCCCTGGTAACCACTTTTCTATTCCCAATTCCTATTAGATCAATATTTTTTAGATTGCACATTTGAGTGATAGTGTATGGTATTTTTCTATCTGTGCCTGGCTGATTTCACAACATAATGTCTTCCAGTTGCATCCATGTTGTCACAAATGACTGGATTTCATCCTTTATATGGAAAAGATAGTATTCCAAATCTTATATATGCCACATTTTGTTGTTCAGTCATCAGTTGATGGACAATTAGGTTGATTCTGTTTCCTGACTACTGTGAATGTTTCTTCTGGCCACAGAAACCCAAACTTTTCTTCTCCTTGAGAGAAATAATACCAGAAAATAAGCTGAAAATCATGGAAGGAAGGCACAAGAAATTATGATATTGAAGTTATTTTTATTGAAGAATAGTTAACACATGATTATGAATGCCAAGAATAACTGGGGCTTCATCTAATTGCATCATATATCTGAGGCTGGGATATAATGAAGGGATCTATGGGAGATATTAGTGGTTTTTAATGTAGAAGGATGTCCTTATGCCAGTTTCTTACTGGACAGGGGGATGATAAAGCTGGTGGTCAGGCTCTGTGATGATGGCTAACTCATGGCTGGTAGTCAGATACAAGGTTCAACAAGAGGATCCACAGGAGCTGGGGCGGTAGCAGGTGGTCCTGCAGCAGGTGGTCTGGCAACACTGGGGTCTGCAGCAGTGGGGGCGGCAGCAGCTGGACACACAGCAGGTGGGGCGGCAGCAGGTGGTCTGGCAACACTGGGGCCTACAGCAGCTGGACCCACAGCTGCTGGGGTGGCAGCAGGTGGTCCTACAGCAGGTGGTCTGGCAACACTGGGGCCTGCAGCAGCTGGACCCACAGCTGCTGGGGCGGCAGCAGCTGGACACACAGCAGCTGGGGCGGCAGCAGGTGGTCCTAGAGCAGGTGGTCTGGCAACACTGGGGCCTGCAGCAGCTGGACCCACAGCTGCTGGGGTGGCAGCAACTGGACACACAGCAGCTGGGGCGGCAACAGGTGGTCTGGCAACACTGGGGCCTGCAGCAGCTGGGCCTGCAGCAGCTTGACCCACAGCTGCTAGGGCGGCAGCAGGTGGTTCTGCAACAGGTGGTCTGGCAGCAGCTGGGCTGGCAGCAGGTCTCCTGGCAGAGACCTTCACCACAGCCCTGATCAGAGCAGACGGAGCCAGAACAGGAGTTGACCATGGTGTCAGAGGGTGGAGGTTCTGGGTGGGTTTCTAAGAGAATGAGTTTCCCAAATGTGGTAGTCTCCTAATTCCATGTCTACTTTTATACCCACCTGCTGACACCATGTTAAAGATTATTTCCTTGTTATTGTTTATGTTCACAGAGAAGTAATTACAAGATTAGCTAATTGTGGGAGAATCTACATAAAAGTTAGATAGAGTGCATGTTTTCCTTTCTCTGAGTATGTATGGTTTATCCAGTATCTTCCTGAGTCACCTTTTGTCTCTTGCCTATTTCCTTATGTGTATCGTCTACTTTCAAAGACTCTTGATCTTACTCATCAGATTGGTTGTCACATGACAGATTCCATGAAATCCAGCATTCTGTGTGTCATCCTGAAGTCTGTGTCTCATACCAATCCTCTAGTGGAACAGTTTCTCATTTTCTAAAGGTGCTTTTAAGAAAATAAAATAAATATGAAAGTACTAGAAGAAAAATTGGGGAAAAATTAAGATGTTTAAAATAGAATGGCTTTTCTACTACAGAAAAAAAAAAGTTAATAGCAATGAAGAAAAATGTTGGAAAATTTTAAAACAGAAATGTTTTAAATACCTGTTTTTATAAAGTAAACAAAATGTAAAACATCTAAAACATAAACAGGGAATAAATAATAAATACAGTAACTAATTTAACAGAAAATGTGTGAATGCCTGGTATAACCCAATATGGAAAAAAAAAAACAAATAAAAACCGAAATAGAAAATTGAATAAAAAACATTCAGTCATTTCATTAAAGAGAGAGAGAGAGAGAGAGAGAGAGAGAGAGAGATTGATTTAAATGTCTTTTGAACTTTGGAAAGCTATCCAGTCTATCACAATGTTTAAAATGTTTAATTGAACCCTTTATTCATTCCTAAACCATCTTCTGCCTACATACAGTTTGCGCAGGTCCTGCCTTAAGCTCTGGAGATACCTCAGTGAATTGCTGTTATTTGTAATGAAAAATATAAAATATTTAAGTTTTAAAACTTTAATGAATTCATGATGTTATAAGGAAATACATTTTCACAGAGATGGCAAGGGTCTAAACAGGGGCAACTTCTCCAGATGGTAATTTAGCTTAAATTCCATAGCATCTGAAGAGTATCTTATATTAAATTCAATAATATCTTGATTTATTAGAGTTTCGAATGTGCATAACTTTTGATTGAGCAATTTCCCTTCTAGAAATGTGTTGAACAGCATACATGTGTACTAATACATAAGTCCTTTGTAGCATCGTTTATGAGAGCAAAAGCTTGATTTTAAGTTCTACTTTGCTTATGGAAGAGACTGTTCCTAATGTAAGAAATACAGTGTGTGGAAGTTATGGAGCATCATTTTTTTCAGAGGAAAGAAAAGTTCTTTGAACTAGTCTTGAAATTTTTTAAAAAGTTAAAATTAATTTAATTTAAAAAAAATTAAATTAAAAAAATGAAGTGACCTTACTTTATATCCTCCCTATTTCCCAGGCAGGAACCAACTTTCCATTTAAATTATTGGAATACCTGAGAGTTTTTAAAAACCTGACTGTTTTTACATGGATTATTTATGGTGGAGGGGAGAAGGGAGATAAAGAAAATGTTCCTGACATGAACATTGTAAGAGTAAGATAAATTTGTGCACTGTCTTGAGAATTAAGGCAACCTTGCAACTGGCATATACTTTTTGATCCCATCATATTCTCTGGGTCAAAAGGAAATAAAACAAATCCTGGTGTCCTGTGAGATTAAAACAAGCTAAAGGAAAATCAAACACAGAGTTTACATGAAAAAGAGGGAAATGGCAGGAAGAAGAAAATGAGGAGGAAGGACACACTATTCAAAGGGAACCTGGGTGTTAGGTTGGTTCCCAGGTAGAAGAACCTAGATCTTCTGATGACAAGCTGAATCATGAAGAGACCCAGTGCCAGGGCTCATATAGCTGTAGGGGAAAATAAAGGGGTTCTGACTGTGGTCACCTCCTGCCTGCACGGGCCTTGGGAAAGGGGTCCTCCTGGTGGAATGGGCTGACTGAGAAATAAAAGCTGGGAAAAATAGAATAGTGGGAAAAAAAAAACCCACAGAACACAGTAGTTTCAAAATCAGGGGCAGGACGGGCAAGCTGATCAGATAGATCAAGCTTCAGACAAAATGGCCCTGTGCCTGCTTTATTTATATCAGGGAAACATCAAGGAGATTCTATAGAATGTTCTTCCCCAAAAGGTTAAAGGTGGGCTGCTCAGTTCCTAATGGTTTACGCCCGTCTCTGGAGCTACTATGAGGAACCTTCCTAGCAGAGCCAAGGAGAAGGTCAAGTGCATTGGGCAATCTATTTCCATGGAAGACCCATAAAAAGTTCCCAATTTCAGGCTTATTTCTCCCTGGCCATGCTGAGAAGATCCTCATGTATTTCACAGATGGTTTCTCGAAGTTACCTTCTTAAGAGATGCACAGGTGTTTTGGATGAGTTTACCACTCAATGTTTCCTACAGGATATATTTGGAATTTTAAACTTTTCCATAAGGGAATGGATGGGTGAATTACTATTTAGGTCGTACCTCATGTAGTTCTGTCCTTCAAGGGTCATAGCATACAGCTGATCACTGTTCAAAACCTGTAACATTGGTTTTATATATTTACCCAGGTTACATTATCATTTAGAGCAAGAGGATAAATCTTTTATACTAATTTCTACATTACAGGGAGTATCTGCAGTCTCCTGAAACTTGGTTTTCACTCATCTCTGTGACTTATCAACACCACCTTCTCTACAGAAGTGCTTCTCAAAGTTGCACCCAGGGAAAACAGATGGAGACTGGAAATGGTTCTGACCTCTCACCAAGCTAAGCTGGAACTGTTAGGTGACCAAATACTACATTTGATTTTAAAACTGAGGTTTAGGGCTGGGGGTGTAGCTTCGTGGTACAGTGCTTACCTAGCACATGTGATTCCCAGCACTGCAAAATCATTTATTAATTAAAATAAATAAAGTGAGAATTAGTGTTTAACTGTTGCAGAAAATGATGACCGATTTCTCATTTCAGGAAAAGGGTTTTGACTGGCTATTTACCCATTAGAAAAGCAAACATCACTTACTCAAAGAAAATTCATTATACTTAAGGAACACCGTCCTCCTGGGAGCATTTCCCAATAGATTAGTGTAATTGGCATAAACAATAACAAAGACAGGTTCTGCTCATTGGTTCCAAGATTGGGGTACCGTATATAAAAGGTACAAAAGCAAAGGAAACATCAGATTCTAGGAAACTTGCCTGTGAACAGGATCCACCCTCCACACCTGCCACCATGAGTGACTGCTGCTGCTCCCCTTGCTGCCAGCCCACTGGCTACAGGACCACCTGCTGCAGGACCACCTGCTGGAAACCAGCCTGTGTGACCTGCTCCTGCACACCCTGCTGCCAGCCCAGCTGCTGTGGCTCCAGCTGTGGCTCCAGCTGCTGCCAGCCCTGCTGCCAAACCACCTGCTGTAGGACCACCTTCAAGCCCACCTGTGTGACCAGCTGCTGCCGCACACCCTGCTGCCAGCCCTGCTGCTGTGTGTCCAGCTGCTGCCAGCCTTGCTGCCAGCCCAGCTGCTG